GTCTTTGTGACTTAATTCTGTTTTCCGGAAGCCTCCATATTAGGTTAGGCTAGAGATACCCCTGGTCTGGCTGTCTGAGTAGAGCAGCAGCGGGTGGTAGAGGAGCTGGTTTTGACATTGTTTCTCTTATGGTGTTCTGAATTCCAGCAGTTGTCTGGGTGTTACAAACCAATGGTGGCCTTCTTGAAAGGGAGGCTTTTCTTAAAGTAGTGAGAAAGTGTTTATTGATAGTTCTAATTTGACTTGCTGGGTCTGTTTAATGGGGGACATGTTTGACATGTTTTCTTTCTTGTTCTACGTGGACTGCAAGATCAAGTTACTAGTAACCTTTTTTCTTATGTGTATGCATGGGGAAAACCAGCGTTCTGTGGAGCTGAATCCAATGCAGAAAGATCTTGTACTGAAGATTGCAGAGTTACTATGCAGCTGATGGAAGAGCAGAGTACTGGGTTGAGAAAGCTGCCAGGCTCTTCCCTGGGAATCCTGCTGCTTACAGATTGAAGGTAAATTCCAGCTTCTGATCTCTGTTCTGTGCCTAGAAGAAACCTTAGTTGCATCAAGCGATGGGAAAACCATGGTAGTAATATTATCCAAGAGGTCAAGATTAGATAGGTTAAGTATTGTCTCTATTACATGACTACACTGCTTTCTAGTTTTTTTTAATTTGAGTTGAAAACTGTCAAGTATAGGAGATGCTGTTATTCCCTAATACTGTGTAAATGTTTTCTGTCATACAATCTCACTTTTGTACAGGTGTTAGTTTTCTGGAGCACAACTGCAATGAAATCAAAGTCTTGAGAGGCTTGTGCTTTGGGATTTTTTGTGTGGTTATGTTATTTTATTTTTTTAGACAAGCTGTTCTGTATTGACATGTGGCATCTTTGAACCAGGTGGTTTGACAGTCTTAACTTAGCATCTAACTTAGCATCTACAAGATGCAAACTCTAAAGCTTTGTGTTTTGTTTTTTTGTTTTTTTTTTCCCTCACTTCTAAAATGTTTATCAAACTCTCTGTAGCACCTACCAGCTTTCCAGAGGTTTGAGTAATGTAGCCTGTAATGGCGATGAGAAAACAGTCAGGTAACATAGTTGCTGAAGAGGCTCTCGTAGAGAATGAAATTTTAACGTGTTGCCTTCGTATGTGATAGGAGCAGTTACTGGAGCGTAAAGGCGAAGATGGCTGGAATCAGCTCTTTGATATGACTCAAACCGAGCTCTATGCGAGACCAGACGATCCCTACCTTAACATCAGACTGGTTGCTCTCTACCGTTCAAATAATAGATTAAGAGATGCTGTGCTTCATTGTCAGGAGGCGGAGAAGAAAATAGCTGTAGACTCCAGCTTGGAGTGGTGTTTGTGCGTCATAAAGACATTTGAGGTATTTAATCATGTTTTGATCCTGTCATAATCTCCCATGTCCTTGAAACCGGTGTTATTCTCTTAGTATCGTTACAATGGCAGCTAATTCTCAAGTGGCTTAACTCCTTTAAATGTAACGTCTGTGGAAACAGTGATTTATTTAGGATTTTCTTAAGCCTTAAAGAGTTGTTTAGTTTCTAGCTGAGGTATTAAGTTAGATACAGCAGCTCCATCAGGGAGGGAATTGCTGAGGCAAATAGTTCCTGGAACATTGCTGCTGAAGAATACGTTAACATCTCACCTGGGAAACTGTAGCAAGAAGTTCTGGAGAAACTCTTGCCTTCATAGAAGGATGGCGGTTCCTCATTCTGTGATGAACTTTATGCTTTAGGAATATCTTGAATCAGTACGAGACTTGGAGGCTGATAAAAAAAAATTGGAGAGCTGTCAAGAAGGATCATCT